GGTGGGGGGTGATGGCGGCGCGGGCGCAGGCGCAGGGCCGGAGGGCGGGGGCGTGAGGGAGGGCTCGGGGACGGCCCAAGTCGTGGGGCTTTATGTGGCACTCCCAAACCTTGCGGAGCGACAGACGGCGGTAAATGTGCTACTCTGCCCGAGCCGGGAGTCAGGCAGAAACAACCCCAGAGTGCCCAGCTAGCCAGTTTCTTCAGGCGTTTGATCCACGCCAGTGAAGCAGCAGCACCTCCTCTGCCCACAGCGCTTCAGAAGCTGTCCAGAATTGAGGGGACATATGCTTATTTCCATAACCATAGCTTGCGTAAACTTTCTGTTTGAAATAACACCGTTTCTTAGGACCGGAGTTAGGAAATTAAAAAAGCTCAAATAGTTAGACTGTATAGTCAGAAAAAGTCAGTGCTTGGGCTTCAAATGTGATAGTTTCAACACGAATGGAGGACACCAGAACATCTGAACCTCTACTGCATGATAATGTGAACATACAGAAATTACCTTACAAAAACAATATTGTACAAAGAGTGAATCTAAATGGCAAGTGCTAAGAAAATCATAAATTATTAAATTTAGTAAGATGGTACTTTAATTCCAACAAAGTGATCAGCAAAATCGCATTGTGATTGATAAATGACTGTGTCCCGCAAGTGATTCCTTTCTGTTCACAGGTGGTTTGCGAGGTCTGAAAGGCCTTATTCAAATTCATTTCACCCTGACTTAGTACTTGGTGGTGTTCACATTTCATGTGTCCTAGTTTGAGACCTGTGCACAGAAATACAGCTTTTTACGTTGCTACTTTCTAGAAGTGCAGTACCGTGGATGTAAAAGAGTAGTTGAAGAGTAGAGACACATTTTACCATCTGATGTTAGCTTACTATGTGACTTCAGCTTCTGTTTTTTCCTTTGTTTCTCCATCTATAGGTAGAGATAATACATCGCTGTCCAAATCAAGACAGAGAACACTGGATTTTCGGCAGAAGCTCTCCATAGATGAGGGAAGAAGAGGCAGGTTGGGAAGCCATTAACTTTCTTTTGCTTATCATCTTAGGTTGCACAGATGTACTGAAGTACAACAGAAAAGTCAATGAGTGGCTAACTAAAGCTAATCAGAGCAGAAAATACAGATTTCTTAGGCAGTTTCTCCCCTGGCTCCATATTCTGCTTCAGGTTCTTGTGAGAGAAAGGACCCAATAAAAGGGAGTTAACTGCACAGCATTTGTCTTTGTCAGTGTTCTGCAAGGCTAGTGTTACATAAAACATTCAGCTCTGGCAAAATCTAACCTTCTCCAGTTCAAATATAACCTTCTCCAGTGTGTAACATAGTCTTTTAAGTTTGATAGCAAGACAAGAAAGAAGAAAATAGGCTGAAAAGCAGTAGTAAAGGAAATCTGCAAGAATGGTGTACGAATGATCTTACTGCTCTCCAGTATAATTTTTAAGATTTGAGTATTTAGTTATTTAAAATGACGAGAAATCTACTCAGACCATATTTTTATTAAATAAATAAAAAATGCACTTGAAATTAATATTAGAGACATTTTTCATTAAAGTCCTTTGAAAAAAAGGGCTAGAACCTCAGGACATTCTAAAGCAGCTGTGGATTATGTTAAAAAACAGATTACATTCAGTTTACAATACTGCCAATAGAGGTAGTATAAACATTGTCTTGCAAAGTGGATCAATTTAACCATTTTTAAAAAATGCTCGAAAAAAGAATTTTAATAGATATATTATTGAAATAAATCCTGTCAAGTGTTAAAAATGTAGGTTACTGAAGTGGAAATAACTTTTAAAGAACATAAACAGCTTAAGGGGAGAAAAATGAGTTATTTTCACATTCCAACAACATTTGAATTAGTGATACTAGAAGGAAATGTTTAAATTTTTTTTAAAAATTATATCTTGTTTGGAAATAAAGATAAATGCTTGTTTCTCTTGAGTTTTATAAGGCCTGTATCTCAATGCCATATCCAAATTTTAGAACTAATTCAACTTTTGCTGATCTCTTTGTTTCACTGGTTTCTTGTTCATCCTAGACACTTAAACACAGTAATAGAAATATGACGTACCAAGTGTCTGAAAGTAAAAAGGGAATCTTGGTGCCTAAAACCATTTTTTTCCAGAATAACCAGTACACTCAGGGATGTCTGGCAGTTTCCAGGAGGTAAAAAGGAACTTGTGTGACTACATTTATGTAAAACCCATGAAATTATTATTGCTATCTTCTCTCAGAGGAGTAAGCGTGTGCACTTAGCCCCCCAACTAATGTACTTCGCATTACTAGCGTGGAAAAATTGTTGCTGCAGATCTATCAATGATACATTTCAGTAACCCTCCAAAAGTTTTGAAGGATTGACATTTATAATCACTTAAACCAGCTACGTAGAAGAGCAAATCATACGCATTTTTCACTGGGCTGTATTTTAGACTTTGCTAATGCACTCACCTAGCAACAGGAATTAAGTCTTCTTTTTCAGCTAGGGAAATGAAAAGAATTAACTTGGAAATTAATTGGGTTTTTTGTGAGGCAATGTGAAAAATGTCCCCCTGGACCACTTCTTTTTGCACTGCTTACATCTTCATGCTTGGCTGCGGGATAGATTTGTTATCTCTAGCAAACCTCAGTGGAAAGAGTTTGCTGTGCGGTAATAACTGAGACTAAGCTCTGAAGAATACGCGTAGTCTGTTACATTCTTAAAATGCACCAAATTAATCCCTTAAGTAATACAACTAAAATGCAACAGGGAAGAGCTTTAGTCCAGTATGTCTAAGAAAATATCCTTTTATAACCCCAAGGATTTATTTATTAACAGTTCTGAGCTATTGGTTTTGCAAAGGTAACACCCAAAAATAGTAAACACAGTTATAATTTTTAAGTTACTTCTTTACCTCCTGCCTTCCATTCAAATACATGGGTGTATTGGAAATAGGTGTATTGCTAAGTTGAACTAAGGAGTTTTGTCTCAAGCCATTCATGTATATCCCTCTAAAACTGCTTTTGCTTTCCATTCCCAGGCACTTAATGCACCTTTGACGACATCTAATGAGAATTGTGCCAACTGCCCTTGTTAGGCTTGAGGTACAGTATACGCATTCAACTCGTGTCCTTGGTAGCTCAACTGTATAGGTGGCTGATCCAGTTTATGCTTACAGCTGTTTGCTCGTCTGCCCTGGCACTGTGAACATTGTTAGACAAGGGCCAGCATGGTGTTGTGAGCAGTGGAAATAGGTGATCTGTTTTGTGAGGTAGCTGAGTGATTACGCTACATGGCATCGTGATGGTAGACTAGGTGAATCCAGTGAGTAGCTGGATATTTCAACCTTTATTTTGGTGTCTGTTTTTATTATAGGGCTGTACAGGGTGGATTAAAGTAACTTCATTTTCCACCAGTTTAAATGAGACGTTAGAGGAAAAAGGACAGCTGGTGTATTTCATAATGAACCATCTGGCATTTCTTGGTAGATCCTCTGATTCCTAATTTACTACTGAATTGTGACAGCATGAAAATCAAAATTATTGATTGTGTGGAATCAGTGTTTCCCTCTGGCACATTTTGTGCTCCTTCAGTTTTTGTCAAAGAATAGTCATAGGAGGGATATGGACCTCTCACACTGAGCTTTGCAAAGCTTGAAAGTCATCTCTACCATTTGCCTTTATTTTGGTAATCATGCTGCTTGACATTTATTCTGGAAGACCGACTTTCCAGATGATCACATGTGATCTGAACCTTACAGAAAGTGGCAATAATCAGTTTTAAGGTTCCACAGGGAAATTCCTGTATTAGGTTCGTATTGTTTTATTCCTTTTCATTTATGGCTCTTTTTTAAACTTCCACTGCTAGGAGTTTAAGAAATAGACTAAGTAGCTAGCTGGAATTGGAGATTCAAAAAGTACAATGCAGTAGAGGATTGACTAATCCAATAGGAGAGTTTACCTTCAGTCTCAATTTATTTTAAAGTTCTCTAAGTAAAGCATATCCTTGCTTTAACTAGATAGTACATAACCATGTACCTACCACTAAATCTGCCTTTAGATTCAACTTCTTTTAGTGACTGGATGAAAAAGATGTTGTGACTTATGAGGAAGGCATCTGCACACCAGCAAGTACATGACAGCTGCATTTCGCTGCCAAAAAGGATTATGAAATATGATTTCTAAATGAGCAAATTAAAAAAGAAAGGAAAACAGGAAATGGAAATTGAGTAAATTGGAGCTAGAAAAGGCATAGGATTAGAAATGGTAGAGGTGGGGTAAGATATAGACAGAATGTAATAAAACAGTAGATAAACAGGGAAAACAGTGCTAGACAGAAATCAGACTAAAAAATTGGCAAATTGCTTCAGAAAATTGCCCTTAAAAACAAAGCAGTAATGGGAAACTTGTCTGTGGTTTAATCTGACTGAAGAAACAGTGGAGGATCATCTTCAGCAGTGCTCCTAGGAAAAGTAAAGAGACCCTTGAACTTCGGATGGTGACAGTGATCAGTCACAAACTAGAGTCCAAATCTGAATCCTAATTAATCTTGCTGTTGGTCATTGAACAGTGACTGGCTCCTAGGTTCAATTTCTTGTGCTATGG